TGTCTAAGAGTCCTTGAAGTTGTTACACTGAGGCTGCAGAGATGGCTCAGTGGTTATAAATACTTCCTGCTCTTGTGGACAGCTGAGTTCTGCTCCCAGCACCACATCAACTGTCTCATAACCACCAGCTCCAGGGAATCTGATACCCCCTTTCTGGCCTCTGAGGGCATCTTCATGTACATTTGCATGCACGCCTACACACAAGCACTTAGATGTCAGCCAGCACTGTTGTGTGATTTACCACCGCTATGGTGGACTGTGGAGATTGTGTCTGTTTCTTTCACACACTTTCCCGGAGATTCTGCTGTGAGTTCTAAGCCTGACATCAGACTTTCAAACAGGAGTTCCTGAGATTCATGAAAAGATGAAGCTGGGGACTCTTTGTTTTTGTTTGATAGAGGGTCTCACTATGTAACTCTGGATGTTCTGAAACTCACCCTATAGACCAGGCTTGCTTTGAACCCAAAGAGCTACCTTCTTCTGATTCTTAAGTGCTGGGATTAAAGGTGTACATTACTACAATCTCCATGCTGGATACTCTTGACCTTTGATACTTGAAGGAATGGACTCCACCTCCAAATATGAGGTTCTAAGCCAACAGCCTTAGACACCTCTAGGCTGTACTGAGAGACTCAGTTAAGGATTCTAGGTCTTGGATTTTTTCTTTTTCCTTTTGGTCTGTAAGTTGATAAGTTTCTGAAATCTGATGATTGACTGACTCAGAGCTAATTACACAGAACCGAAGGAACAGATGAGAGGAACGTACCTGCAATTATTTATTGGAACTTTACATATTTATTTTTAAAGTATTTTCATCTGTGTGTAGGGGGTTATTTGTGCTATGGCGTGGATGTGGGGGCCAGAGGAATACTTTTTGGAAGTCAGGGCTCACCTTTGTTCCATCTTGCTCAAGGCAGGGTCTCTTTTATTTCTATCACATTTTTGTGCATATTTTCATATGGCAGCCCTCCTCAGAGTGTAACCTGCATGGAGTTTATTGGCCTTGTGACTATTTTACCAAGGAAACACTAGTGTAGTCTACAAAAGACATTGAATATTAGTTAGTTAACATCTTCCTTAATTTTTAAAGAAAAATATGACTAGACCTGAGATTGTATTACTAATACTTGGTAAATGTCTTAAATTTTCTTTCCATAGCTCTTCTTATCATACGTGGCAACCCCTCCTTAAATAGTTTGTTTCCTATTCCTATAAATTTCTTTAACTTCTTCCTAATAGAGAACATTACAGTCTTTGGCTACCTGAGCCTGGCAGCTATGGTGTTCTCCTTACTCCCAGCCCCTAATCTGTACACAGATTAGGGAATATGGAGGCCACAAAAGCAAGTTTGCTCTAGAGACAGGGCAGAGAAGCAATAAACAGTCCTCTTTGTGAGCATCTGTGTGCTTGACACGTACTCCAATTATTTTCTCTGTCAAGTACAAGCCTGTCTGTGAACAAGTGCTTGACTCCAATTCTGGTGGGGGAAAGTCTTCCATTACTTGGCGGAGAGAGAAACCAAATTTGTGGTGCTTTACATGCAGGACTTGAAGACGACAAAGAGAGAAGATCGTCATCTTGCTGTCGTTGGTTTGTGTTAACTTGCTCCCATTAGTACTTTGTGAAGATTAGGAATGGAAAAAATAGGGAGACTGAAGACTAAGCCCTGCATAGTGGAGGGTCAGCTTCTTTACCAACACAGAATTGCAGCAAGCCTGGTGAGAAATGGAGGCTCTGAAGCAAGACAGCCACATGTAAGCTCCAATCTCCACTCACTCACTTCCTAGCTGAGCCTAACTGCTTTCTTCTGAAAAGGGAGAAAAGATACCACTGTGGGAAGAAAAGACTTTTTATACATGGCCTGAAGAAGCACCTGTCAACCATGGCATTTATAATAATATTAACAACAATATAAATGATGATAATAATAGCTTTAAGGAAAAAATAAAGTTGGAGTGTGTCAACTTAAATTTCCTCTATTTTCAAAGTTCTAAATTTAGCCTGAATTCTGCTTTAGAGTGGCTTTACTTAAAAACTATATATAGGACAGGGCATGGTGGCACATGACTTTAATCCCAGGACTCAGGAGGCAGAAGCAGGCAGATCTCTGTAATTTAGAAAAAAACCTGGTCTACATAGTGTGTGTGTGTGTTGTATGTGTGTGTAAGAGAGACTGACTCTGTGTGTGTACATGTATGTGTGTATGTATGATAAAAGGAATACTAAACAAATATTAGTAATACACAAATATCTAACTAAAAACTTCTCATATGGCAATAATGGAGGGCAGTCAATAACCAAATAGTCAACAGCGTATATAATCTCCTGTTGGTGGTTGTAGGTGGCCTCCACTCTGTCTGTGACATATTCTTTCTTACCAGCTCCACCCTGGTCTCCTCTTCATGACCACCAAGGAGAACTAGAGGTTGAAGCAGAGGAGGCTCAGAATAGTACCGCCTTGATTTTGGCAACATGCATATTGTTTCTTCAGCTAACTCAGCATGCTGGAGATCATTTTAACAGCACAGTGTTATCATGTGGTTTCAGTAGAAAAAAAGACCCTATGTAAAAATAGCACCTTCTTCCTCAGCATGTCTGCTCCCTTTAATGAAAATAAGGCTTTCGCTTAGACTGAGCCAATGCAGTTATCAAGGCGTGAGCTAAAATCTCATCTGCTTCAAACGCTGCTAGCCAAATTCACTAACAGTGGTACTTACAGATACTGACAATAAGAAGGCCACAGCAGTAAGAGCCATGAACAGCGCAGGATAGCTCACATTCGACACGGAGTTCTTAAATGGCAGTGTTCTAGAATGAGCCCCCAAGGAAAGCCATCATCAAGAAGAGGCCCGGCTGCTTCACATGAGTATTTACAACAATATGAATGAACAGACCGAAAAGGAGCAGAGAGAAATCAGCATCAGTCATGGATTCGTATCCAATCCAACTAAAAATAAAAAAGATAAACTAATACCACTCTGGCCATATGGCAAGCTAATGGGTTGCTTCTTAGAGAATGGGTTTCTTTCACTCTCAGCAGCTTGCATTCAATCACATCAAAGTTTCCATTCTGGGATCTAGGACCTTCTGTGTATGTTATTGATGCGAAAATACAACAGAGCTTTATTTTATATGACTAAGGAAAGATTCAGACATGCTCGTCAAAGTCATCTTAGAAAACATAGTGTTAGTTAGAAGCAGGGGCTGAGCTCAGTGGTAGAACACTTGCCTAGCATGCACAAGGCCCTGTGTTCAAATTCCCATACTGATAAAAAGGAGAACAAAGTCTCTTGGGTTATGACCAGAATTTGGCCCAAATCAAGCTCAGTGAGCTGATTAATTATGTTGTCCAGAGTCCCCCTATATGACTTAACGCTGGGCTATTAAGTTGGCTAGGAACATACAGTTTGGCAAGTTCAGTCATGATCACCCATCATTTATCCTGAATGAAATGTACTCACAAAATGAGAATAAGTGTCCACTTTTAATGCAAGAAATCTGCTCCTGAAATTATAAAGGTTCCAGGGAGCTGACCCTGGCTTCTAGAAACCTCTAGGCTGTTTGGCAAAGGAAGAGTCATAATTTTATTTTGGAACCCATTTTTTTAAAGAATCTTTTCTTCTAAGATTTATTTTTATTTATGTGTATATGTGTGTTCCCATGGTGGCCAGAGAACAATGAATTGTCCTGAACTAGAATTATAGGCAATTGTGAGGGCTGGAAATCAGCCCTGAGTTCTCTTGTAAGAGTAGCAAGTACTCTTAAATACTGAGCCATCCCTCCACACCCTATTTCAGACTCTCAGAGAAAGTGTTTCTGCTTTGTAAACCCTAATATATCTTTATTCAAGAGTCATTTGAGGCATTACAACAAACAGGCATATGCATACCTCGTCTTCCTGGGAGTCACTGCACCCTTCATTAGGTTATTAGTGGCTCTCTGACATTCTAGCCCTACAGATTGCATGTGAGCAGCCAGCTGGCTCCATATGGGTTCTTTGAAAGCAGTTCTAGATGTTCACCCTCATCAGCTAAGAGACCTTATGCATTTAGCAAATGTTAGGACTAAACTGCCTCCATCCACCTTCATATGAGGGAAAATGTAGACCCAAATGACTCAGAAGCTTCAAGGACACACACAATCATACAGTCCCACCACTGTCTTCTCAGTACAAAGTCAAAGTAGTTTTCATCCTAGCTCTAGGTTAGGTGCTTGGGTATCTTCATTTGGGCCCTGTGGAAGCTGGAAAAACTTTGTGAAGAAATGTAGAAAATGGGGATGTACCCGTGAAATCATTTGCCAAGAAGTTTATTGTGAGTTGTGGTAGCTAGGTTTTATGCCAACTTTGACACATACTAGAGTCATTTTAGAAGAGGGAACTGCAATTAAGAAAATGTCCTAACCAAACTGACCTATAGGCAAGCCTGTGGTATATTTTCTTGATTGATGACTGATGGGGGAGGGCTCAGCTCACTGTGGGTGGTGCCACCCCAAGGTTGGTGTTCCCAGGTGCTATAAAAAAAAAAAAAAAAAAAGCAAGCAGAGCAAGTCAGAGATAGAAAGCCAGTAAGCAGCATTCCGCTGTAGTCTCTACTTCTGTTCCTGCCTTGAGTTCCTGCCATGTCCTGGATGATGGATGACCGTTGCTTTGGTCATGACGTTTATCACAGCAATGGAAACTCTAACAAAGACTGAACTTTGGAAGAGATGTATTTTTGGAGATAATTCGAAAAAGAAAAGTCAAAGGAGATGAGAGTCCCACATTTTATCATAGAAAGGAGAATAGAACTCTAACAAGAGAATAGTCCAAGCAGTGAATGGACAAGAGAGCCAAGGGTGGTAACATGTAAGGGAAACCTGTGCATTAACAACCTCAGGCCAAAGCTTTCATTTCCTGTCGGTGGCCAAGATGCCCTTCATGCTAAGGACACAGCTAGTTAAGACAGTCAACTGGGATAGTTAGTTGTTGCAGAAATCAGCTTATAAGAACTATAAAGTGACCCCAGAAGAGGGACAATCACACAACTTACTTCCCACCCCAGCCCCAGGGCCTAAGAAAGGGGGCTTACTGGGGCTGGCCTAGATGGAAGACAACATCTAGTTCCAGAAGAAGCTACCTGAGGGGCCATCAGTGCCTGCATGTGGGAGAGGGGAGAATCACCACTGCTGAGGTGTGGGTTCATCTTTTCTAGAAAGAACAAGGAGCATAGAAATGGAGACCATGTTCAAGGACAAGAGCTTTGGATCCTTTCTTCAGTAACTTTGTTCAAGATAGCATGCAGTCATCTTCAATTTCCTAATAAAGCTACTCTTAACCTTAAAAACAAATGAATGAAACAGAGTTACAAAGTGAATCCAGGCCAAGGAAGTAGAGATGCTTTGCTTCAAGCCTCTATCTCCCTGGCTAGAGCTCTGATGCTGATAAACTTTTGCTCTATGGATTAAAGGACATCAGCACCCAGTTTCATGGTTGTATCCATGTTGAGAGGAGATGCATGTATCTGGATATGGTAGGTTGCAAAATGTGTGCATCCTTATGATGGCTGATGATTAATATTGGTTGTCAAATTGATCATATGTAGCATCATCTTAGAGACACACCTCTCTGTGTGCGGGCTTTTGTGAGGATTTCCTGGAAGAATTAACGGAGAGGGAGAAATTGTACTTGAGAATGGGTAGCACCTTTGGGAGGCAGCCTGTATGTGAAGAGTTTCAAGGGAAAACAGCGCTGGCTTTGCCTATCTGCAGCCACCCTTCACTGACCCTGGATCCCAGCTTCTTGGGCCTTCTGTTGTGAATTGGAGACCAGCAGCTCTCCAGAATCCTCAGCTGGGACTGCTTAGCCATCCAGTCTGGTAGACTTAACATCTGTGGTTCTCAGCCTCCCCAGTGTGCAGACTGCCACTGGTGAACCACCCAGCCAACATAATACACCCCTTTGGTTGGTTGGTTCTGATCCTCCAGAGAGTCTGAAGACAGCCCTCCTACCTCCATACGGTAGCCTTTGCTGGCTCCGTAGACTTTCCCATTGAGATGTAGAATCTGTTTTCCCCTAAATTTACCTTTGATAATGTCATTGACTTTGGATGTGGGAACATTAACAAACATGGCACAAGCAGAAGCTTTAAATTATTGAAAACTATGTTTAAATTATTGGAAGTTATTTATTTACATTAGGTGCCCATATGGGTCATAGTGTATATATGGAAGTCAGGGGACAACTTGCCAGAGTCAGTTCTTTCTTTCCACTATGTGGATCCTGGGGATTGAACTCAGGACAGCAGGCTTGGCAGCAAGTGAATTTATTCACTGAGTCATCTTGCCGGCCCAAGTAGAAACTTTAATGTCATTTCACAATGTGACTGGCTTTCTCTTGGTCACTTTTGCAACCAACTTGCTTGACTGCTGGAGCCTGGGCGGAGATGTGAGGAGAAGACAAGATCTTTCCGCTGAAACCCCCACATATATAAGGGAGGAGAGCCCTGGCTGAACATGTCTGGCCTAGAAGTATTTCCCGCAGAGCCACCAGACAGTGAGAAATGCACATGTTCCTACTCACAAGCTACTGCACTCTAGAGTTTGTCTAAAGGACAAGCTATTCAAATAGGAGGGTCCACCTTTCTGTGTCTTCTCTGTCTACGACTAATTCTGAGATAATAGGATAAGACCAGAGTGCCGAGTGACATCATCTTAGAAAATGAAGGACAAACCTGTGGATTGATGTTAACAATGTCATGTCCATCCCACATCAGACTGTGAAAATCACAAGCACACAGCATCCGGCTGTAACGCTGGTGAGTGATGACACAAAAGACTTCTGTATCCCAAGGAAATTCCCTGCCGGAGTATGTGATTTATTTATGGCATAAGCCCAGGGTTACTTTTCAACCTTTATATTTTAACTTGGTGATAGAGAACTACAGATCCAGATGGAGGCGGTTTTAAAAGTTAGCTGATTTGATTTCCACAGCAGCTGTCATTTTATGCAAGGGTTATGATAATCTGTTAGAACTGTGGTCCAAGCAGAAAGCAGTGCAGATGTTTCAGGCGATCTGCTAGGAGAACTACGGTCCGAGCAGAAAGCAATGTTGACAGGCCTGTGGTTGAGAGAAGCCACCACGGAGATGCTGCAGGGCAGTTCCCACCTCTGAGTGCAGGAGCAATGGCTGCAGGGGTACAAAAAAGCCCTGTATATTTCACCAGCCCCTAAAGGCATATTATGACACTGCCCAGTAGTGGCTGATGTTCTTTCCCAGCAAGAACTCACAGTCATCAAGAACTGGTTAAGTGATGTTCAGTGTATTCTGTTTAATGAGGCTGAGCAGACAGGGATTCACTTTAGTACAGTTTCTATGAAAAGGATGAAACTTTGTTAAAGTTTCCTGCTTAAAAATTCCAAGCTTCAGTTCCCTAGAAAACCCACTTTTTTTTCCCTGACATTGCAGATTGGTAAGTAATTAATTTAGACATAATCGTTTGGCATTGCACTGGATCCCAGTAGTCCAGCAGGCTAATCATCCAGAGTGAATGCGGAATAGCCAGGGCTTGTTTATAGTAGTAGAGGAATTGTGCCGTGTGTGTGTGTGTGTGTGTGTGTGTGTGTGTGTGTGTGTGTGTGTGTGTGTGTGTTCAAGTGTTGTGCTTATGTGACACTGTTTGTCATTCCTCAAGTGCCACTCACTTGCCAAGTAGCTAGGCTGGCTTTCCAGTGGGCCCCAAGAGTCTCCCCATCTCTTTGTCCCCAGTACAAGACTTACAAATGTGCACTGCCATAGTCAGCCTTTCCAGGTGGCTTCTGGGTTTGAACTTGGGCCTTTATGTTTACAAGGCAAGCACTTTGCTGACTAAGCCATCTGCCCACTGCCTTGGCCATCTTACAAAGCACATCTCAGCATCCTGTGGCCTCTGCTGTATCTAGAACACTTTTCTCTGGGCAGATACCATCATTCTTCCAGTTGTCCTACTCAGCCAGTCCTGGGCTGGCTTTTTGTTCTCCTAGTCCAGTCATCCCTGGCTTCAGGTCAGTTTTCACAGAGCCCATCTGTGGGAAATCTCCATCTGGGCTTCTGGTGTATCCCCCCCCCCATCCTTATCACACTTACAATGAACACAGTGAAGTTATCACCACCATAGCTGGTGTTCTTACTTTATTAAGGGTCAGTGTAGATTCTGTATAGGGCACAGGTAGTCCTCGGTCATCTTTTGTTCTGTTTTGTCTATTACTCCATCTAAAGGGTCTGATTTTAACCCACTTACCCAAGCCTACAGGCCTCTATCACACTGCTGTCTAATCCAAGAATTATAGAACAGAGAGACCCGTGAAAGGACGTATTTGAATTGGTGGTATAGTTCAGTGGTAGAACAGTTTTCCAGTATATGAAAGACCCTATATTCAATGTCCAATGCATGTATCACACACACACACACACACACACACGGAGAGAGACAGTGACAGAGAGACAGAGAGAGACAGAGAGAAGCAGAAAGAGAGAGACACACAGAAAGGGGCAGCATTGGTGTAAGACCTGAGAGACCTGAGTCCTAGGTAGACCTGGTCTGTCTTGTGGTAACTGTGATAATTGACAACTGGTTTAATATCCCTAAGCCTCCACACATTTATCTTTATAAGGAAGCGATTCTGAGGGCTACTTTAGGGTTAATGTCACCATAAAGGTTAACTCATTGCAAAGGTTAATTCATGTGTATAAAATACCCAGCATAGTTCTTGGCAAACAGATGATACTCAATATATTGACCCTCTTCGTTTTCTCCTTCCTCTGTAATTAATCTATGTCTGACTCAGGATATTGTGTTTTAGATATTGCTTGCTTTGAATGAAGGCCATATATATTGGAACCCCACAACCTTTTTTATGGACTTCTAGCTTCTCATAAAGCATGTGGGCAAGGGAAGGGCTGAGTTAGGGAACTGCTCTTCAGGTACTTGTGAATTGGTATTTCACAATGCCTCTCCCAAACCTCCCAAAGGGAGTTCGTGTCCATGCTCCCTACCTGTAATGTTCATATCCATACGCCCCACCTTTAGACATCCACAGATTCAGAAATGAAAGGAACTGCTTCTCACCCTTAGCTCCTGGAAGTCTGGATTTCCAAAATGGAAGTTTCTACTTTTTAAAACTTTTATTCATTTGTTTACTTGCTTATTTATTTTATTGTGTGTGTTTATGTATACACATGGGCACAGGTACTTTAGGGTCCAGGAGAGGGCATTGTATCTCCTGGAATCAGAGTTGAAGGGAGTAGTGATGTGCATGACATGGGTGTTGGGAACTAAACCCAGGTCCTCTGTAGGAGCAGTGAGTGCTCTTAGCTGCTGAGCCACATCTCCAGTTCCAAGAGCCCTGTCCCCATACCTTGAATGAATTGTAAAAATTACTAACAGCACTTTTACACTTCCCACTACTATTTTTTCTTAAATATTGGGTTTGAATGTTTGTGCTTGACTAAAGTTGATGCTAAATCCAAGTCCTTGAGGTCACAACAGTAGGAGGGACTTGGAGGGATGGTTAGGTTCTAGAGGGTTCCTTCATCAGGTACCATCAGGACTTTTGTCAAAGTAGGCTTGTCAAACTCATTTCATCCTTTCCATCATATAAGGACATCTACAGAAAGCATAATCTGTAAACCAGGTATGAGCCTCGCCAGACCCTTCATCCTAGGCTTTCCAGACTCATGAGCTGTGATAAATTACGGTTGTTCACAAGTTAGCAGCCCAAACAGCATCTAATGTTTTTTTGGTCACCTTGACAGGATCTAGAACAGTGGTTCTCAGCCTGTGGGTTTTGACCCCTTGGGGGTTGCAGTCACATATCACATGTTTACATTATGATTCATAACAGGGGTACAGTCACATATCACATGTTTATATTATGATTCATAACAGTAGCAAAGCTACAGTTAAGAATAGCAATGGAATAATTTTATGGTTGGGGTCACCACAACATGAGGTAATGCATTCAAGGGTTGCAGCAATAGGAAGGTTGAGAACCACTGCTCTAGAAAACACATTACTGAGCATGTCTGAGTCTGAGGTAATTGAAGACCCACCCTAAGTATGGGTGATGACATCCTGTGGATTGAATTTGTGACTGAATCGAAAGGAGAAA